TCTCCCTTTTTAGTTTTTTCCTTAATTTTTTATTGTGAAAATTTTCAAATATACAGAAAATTTGAAAAGTACTACAATAAATATCCTTACATCTTCTACCTAGATTCAGTAACTTGACCCTAAGTTTCAAGAAAGCATTACTAGTGGATCTCATACTAGCAGAATACAGTATACTACTTGAAAATAAGATTAACTAATGTGCTGAGAGGAAGTGCTTAAAAAAAAAAAAGTGATTCCTTTTATTCCAAGCATTGTTTCAGGAAAGATTGGTGGCTCCCAGTTTAGTAGAGGCTTGCATAATTTAGTTTTGTCTGTGAGGTGTGTTTCAATATTTGCTATGTAGTTTCTTATTAGGTATCTACTTTGGAATTCCTGAATCCAAAGATGACTCAAAGCAGGATGGAAATTTGATTTAAATCCTTAAGATACAAAGTATTATTAACTTTTCTTTTTGTTCTTTAATGGGATTTGGAAGGAAATCACGGGTAGTATCTTGAACAGCTTTATATTCCTACCAATTAAATTCAAAGCCTTAATAGGAAAGTTTCTTTGAATAGTTTTTTTATTAAAATTAACTTTTAAGAGTAAATAAATGAGCACCTTTTGCATTATAATCATTTTGAGTTGATCATTTAAAAACAAGGGACTTCTAGGAGAGAGAAGTCTAATACACATATGTAGGTTTTGCTTTTTATTTTAAGACTACTTTCCTTTGTAAGTATTGACTTTTCCATTGTCTACCTTGAGTGTAGATATCATGAATATTTGCCTAAAAATAAATCTGTGGTGGTGTTATACAACTATGCATTTGTCAAAACTCACAGAACTGTATACCAAAAAGAATGAATTTTATTGTATGTAAATTAAAAGTATATTTAAAAACACACATGGCAGGAAAATGAGGTTGAAAATGAGAGGTGGTAGATAATTAGATATATATTTGCTAGTTTGTTGGTATAAAACTTGGGAAATTTCTAATTAGTGGGTAAAAGAGATTTTTGTCCTTCAAAATTTAGACTTTCTTGGTTTTCAGAAACACATTCAAAGGAAAAAAAACAAATCTTGGAAATGTGTTTGCTATTGTACACTGAATTTGACAGTGCTTAAGTTGAAATTTTATTGGAGAGCAATAATTTTGTTCACATAAAGTTTCTAAACTTCTATATTGGTAAAGAAGATTAGCTGTAGAAAAGAGGGGATATGTACTTTAGTTCCTACAAACGAGTATGTTTTATTGACTTCTCCAGATTTTTACGTGTTAGCCACATTTTAAGAAAAGGATCTGTAAGTTCCTTTACTGCAAAGTATACTCTTCACTTAGTGAGCCTAACAACATTATTAATTATCTATTTTCCTTTAAAACTTTTGAGGCAACAAACTTTGTATGGTGTTTTGGATTCAGCTGTCTCAGTTTTCTCTAAAAGTCGGCTGTGGAAGTGGTCACATTAATTTGGTCATAGAGAAAGTTTTGAGTATAAAGAGAAGAAAAGAAAATGTTTAGCTTTTTAAAGTGAACAGAAATAAGAATCTTTAAATTATAAACCAAAATTTGTAAGCCGCATCACTAAAAATGGAACTGGATCCACCATAATTTTGATGCAAATTTTTATTTTTTAAAAGATTTGAGAGAGAGAGAAAGAGCGCCGGGGGAGGGGCAGAGGAAGAGGGAGACAAGCAGACTGCCTGCTGAGAAAGGAGCCTCACACGGGGCTTGATCCCAGGACCCTGAGATGATGATCTGAGCCAAAATCAAGAGTCAGTCGCTTAACCAACTGAACCACCCAGGTGCCCCTTGATGCAAATTTTTAAAAAGGGACTTTCTAAATAGTTTTTTCCTTTTTTCCTCTGGTTTATTTTCAGAGCTATAAGGTGATTCATGGTTTTGGGATGACTGTTTACTACTAAATTTTCTCATGTATGTCATATTCCTATTTATTTTTTTAATACTTGATTGCCTTAAAATTCTTTTTGGCCCCTATTGCAGTATCTTTTTCAGTTTTCCTTTGCCTTGGGTGCCCATTTTTTTCCTCTGCATTCCAACCACTTGGTATTCTTTGTTTTTCCTCTTATTTATTTAATATGCTTGGATAAGATTCTCTGGAAATATTAACCTTGCAAGAATGAGTAAATTAGTTTACTTTATTGAATGTTGCCCTCTATTACTTTCCTGTTTCTACTACTTTCTCCAAAATCTAGTTTTAGCATAGAGTTCTTAGGTGAAAGAGGACAAAGAGCAGTGGAGATGATAAAATATAAAACAGGACTAAGGTAGGAGGATCATCAAAAGTTTTCTTTTCTCTGTTCTAGAGTCAGAATTTTTTTTTTTTAAGATTTTATTTATTTATTTGACAGAGAGAGCAAGCACAAGCAGGGGGAGCAGCAGAGGGAGAGGGAGAAGCAGACTCTCCACTGAGCAGGGAGCCCGATGTAGGGCTCGATCCCAGAACCCTGGGATCATGACCTGAGCTGAAGGCAGACACTTAACTGACCGACCCATCTAGGTTCCCCTAGAGGCAGAATGTTTTACAGCTGCTTCATAACTTCTCTCAGGGAGCACACTAACCCCAGTCTTTGTAGCCATTCTCCTCCCAATGCCTTTAAAAGGTTTTATGATTTCTTATATCACAAAAGATTGTTAAGAAAAATCAGCTCATCACATATTTTTGCCTTTTGACATTAAATTTGACAGAATAATCTTTGCTTTAATTCTGCATATAATTTTATTATAATTTATTATACCTTATCCCTCACAACTAAATGTAAAGCCATAAACTAATCAGCCTTGCAAACTCAGCTAATCTTTTAAATACTATTTATCTTCTAGATTATAGCTCTAATTGTGACTCTTAAAATTAGTGCTAAAATTTATTTACTTATTTTTGATTATAAGATGGCCTGTAGATTATTAGACCCTATTTTATTTATTAGTTTGGTGGTAATGTGACGTAGTTTGTCCCTCAGTAAGCTGAATGAGGACATAGTTAGCACTATATTTGGATTTAAAACTTTAGGGATAGAAGTTTTAAAATGTACATTTTAAAATAATAAACTTGAACTGAGAAATGGTATTTTCTAGATCAGGAATCTCAGTTTTTTTGGTCTCAGGATGACTTTACACTCTTAAAAACCGAGGATCCCAGAAGTTTTTGTTTACATATGTACTGTATATAGATATTTATTGTATTGAAAATTAAAACAAAAAATTTAAGATCTTCATTTAAAGTAACGATAAACCTATTACATGTTAACATTTGTGAAAAATAACATTTTCAAAACAGTTGTGGGAAGAGTGGCATTGCTTTACATATTTATAGGTCTCTTTAATGAATTGCTCTTAATAGATTATAACAAGTCTTTTATCTGTCCCTGCATTACACCTGTTAAAATAAGTAATTTTGGTTGAAATATAGAAAGATCATATTTGGCCTTGCACAGATATATAGTTGGTGAAGGGAGGAATATTTTAATAGCCTTTTGTGATAATTGTGGATCTTCTTTGATACTATACCAAAACTCAACAAGTGGTAGTTTCTTAAAAGTTGCAATATGGAATCTGAAATCATATTATAAATGTGTTGGTCTTTTGATCTTTTGCCCAAGGATGATTTATAACATGCATTGGTGATCTGAACCAATTAGTTCATTGTGTTATGCAGATCTCCAAATGTTAACATTTTATTATACAATAATCTCCCCCAGAAAAAAGTAAAAGTCCACATTTGTTAAAATTACCACTTATTTTGTTAGAAAATAATTAATGGGAAGTTATCAAGCACTTAAGTGGCAAAAATGTTTTCCAAAATTCTAATTTTCACTCAAAAACTTTTACCATTTGTTTTCCTTGAAGTGAAGAGCTATTTTGTTCATTTTTGAGAAGATGTCTGCTTTACCTAAGTCTAAATAGCCAGTTTGTCATTCATTCTTTAAATAAAAATTGTGTTCCATAAAAAAAAGCAGCTGGTTCAGATTGTGACTCAATCATGTAAGTGCTTTTTCTCCAGACAATATCTGTTGGGTGCAGCACACAAAATATTAAAAAGGCATGTACACACTGATCAAGATTTAATAAAATGAATAATTTTTGCTGCTTCATAAAGAACATTCTTAAATGAAACTGGCTACCCCCACCGGTACTGTGGGTATGTGGTAATGAAGAATACAATAACTTGTAATACAGTTTGGTGCTGCCTTTTGCCTTGTTTCATTCCTGCTAAGGCTTCAGCAGTGTCTACTCACCATTGCTTTTACAGTGCAATTGTCAATGTGGTGCCAAAAGTAAATATCATCTTAGTATTATTGTGAAAAAAGTATTGACCTTCACAAATGACTTGAAAGAGTCTTAGGAACACCAGATTTCAGCCCACATTTTGAGAATTGATGCACACTAGACAGACAGTTGTGGTGGTTTAAAAGAAAACTTCATTTAATTCTCTGAAGAATGAATTGCAACTCATGTTTTTACTTACGATTTCAATAATTGTAATCTTGCCTCTGAAATAGAAAAATTTGCCAATTTTTAATAAAAGCCTGCACAAGATGCATGCTTGAATTTATATTTCTGTGCTTCTTTCTTTTAAATAGCATACCATTTTATAATTGTGGGCCTAGACTAAAGAGCTCATTCTATTCAAACACTGAGTAGCTTTGTTTCTGACAGCTAGCAGTCAGCTTTCTGTTTTAAAACAATCAGTTGGGTCCTGCTGGCTCAACTTGCAGTTGTCCTAGACCTAACCCTATCTCAGCCAAAGACTGTTGCTGGAAAGCCCACACAAAGGCCTTGTGTAAGGGAGTCCTGCTAATAAGGAGTGTGTTCTAGTCCCAGCAGATTAAATCTGCTTTGGTGTGCATTCCCTTCCCAAATTTCTCACTCATTTCCTTTGTTTGCCTGGCTATTTCAGTGAGAGATCATTTTTAATGCCTCTGAAGATAGTTTCTTCTGATTATTACATAGTCTGAGTGGAGGGGATTACTCGAGTAAAATGTTCCTTTCTCTATGGTAGGATGTGATGGAGCTGCTTGAAGAAGATCTCACGTGCCCAATTTGTTGCAGTCTGTTCGATGATCCGCGAGTTTTGCCTTGCTCACACAACTTTTGCAAAAAATGCTTAGAAGGGATCTTAGAGGGGACTGTGCGGAATTCCTTGTGGAGATCCTCTCCATTCAAGTGCCCTACATGCCGTAAGGAAACTTCAGCTACTGGAGTCAATAGCCTGCAGGTTAATTACTCCCTGAAGGGTATTGTAGAAAAGTATAACAAGATCAAAATCTCTCCCAAAATGCCGGTGTGCAAAGGACACTTGGGGCAGCCTCTCAACATTTTCTGCCTGACTGATATGCAACTGATTTGTGGGATCTGTGCTACTCGTGGTGACCACACCAAGCATGTCTTCTGTTCTATTGAAGATGCCTATGCTCAGGAAAGAGATGCCTTTGAGTCCCTCTTCCAGAGCTTTGAGACCTGGCGTCGGGGAGATGCTCTTTCTCGCTTGGATACCTTGGAAACTAGCAAAAGGAAATCTCTACAGTTACTGACTAAAGATTCAGATAAAGTAAAGGAGTTTTTTGAGAAGTTACAACATACATTAGATCAAAAAAAGAATGAAATCCTGTCTGACTTTGAGACCATGAAACTTGCAGTTATGCAAGCCTATGACCCAGAGATCAACAAACTCAACACCATCTTGCAGGAACAACGAATGGCCTTTAACATTGCTGAGGCTTTCAAAGACGTGTCAGAACCCATCATATTTCTGCAACAGATGCAGGAGTTCAGGGAGAAAATAAAAGTAATCAAGGAAACTCCTTTACCTCCCTCTAATTTGCCCACAAGCCCTTTAATGAAGAACTTTGATACCAGCCAGTGGGAAGACATAAAACTAGTAGATGTGGATAAACTTTCTTTGCCTCAAGACACTGGCATATTCATTAGCAAGATTCCCTGGAGCTTTTATCAGTTATTTGTGGTAGTCATTCTGCTTAGCTTTCTTATTTTCTTTGGTCCCACTATATTCCTAGAAGGGTCTTTATTTGATGAATTCACAAGTTGGAAAGACCATCTCTCAAACTTCAGTTCCTATCTGACTAAATCAGCTGATTTTGTAGAACAATCAGTGTTTTACTGGGAACAGGTGATGGATGGGTTTTTCATTTTCAGTGAAAGATTTAAGAATTTTACTTTGGTGGTGCTGAACAATGTGGCAGAATTTGTGTGCAAATATAAACTATTATAAAATCTGTTGCAAGTGTATAGTTCTCTGTCTTTTGTTAGAAATTTGTTAAAGAGCTGAGTGGTAGTTCAGATTTGGTCAAGATTTCAGTCAGATATCTTCCTACAAAAGTATTCCTTTCAAAAATAATGTCCTATACATGTTGTTCAAATTAGGTAGCATAAAGATAAATGTGAGATTTAATACTAAGTCCTGAACCCTCCTTCCTTTTTAAATAGTGCTTTTGTAAAACGCCTCCTACCCCCAATATTGGTTGTGTTCATGCTGTGGAAAAGAGGTGAAAGAAGAGCACATGATCTAATATTATGTAAATGAGGTAGTGTAACAGTGATTGTTCATTTAAGCATGTAATAAAGCCTACTCTTGTAAAGCAACTTTTTTGGAGACTGGACATTCTTTTAAAAAAGAAGATATGGGTGGATTGGACTTAAAATTTTTCTAGATTTGGATTTCTAAATTTTATTTTTTTGCTAAAATGTAAATCTTAGGTAAACAAAAAGTGGCATTTTTCTTGCAATAAGTTTACATTTTTAGGAGGGTGGAGATTTCAGCTTGCCTTTTTCTCCTTCAGTTTTGTAAATTTATCACCAAAGGAATTCAAAGGAAATGTTAGGGGGCTGTGTAAGCAAAGGCGTAGGTAAAAAAAAAAAAAAAAAAGTCTAACACATGGCAAGGACAGGAAATGGGAAAGCCTTCTTTTTATTGGCAGCTAAGCGTTGTGTTGTTCCAAAGTATCATGGCAACTGTACAACCAAACCATCCACTGCTTAACATATTTTTAAAGAGTAGTAAGATTAATTTGACAATAGATGGAACAGTCTTTCAGCTATTATAAAGTGCAAAGTAATCAGCTAAAAACTAATGATTTGTTAACTAGAATTTAAATAAAAATTTTTAAAACAGCAATACATACATACATACTACTGGGGGAAAAATAAAACACTAATGCTCACATAAGATAAAGATACCTGCCTCCCACAGATTTTTTTTTTTTTTAAAAGAACTAGGTAGTTTTTTAAAACTCATTTGAGAGCGATAGAGCAAGAGCAAGGAGGAGAGTCAGAGGGAGAAGCAGGCTCCCACTGAGCAGGGAGCCCGATGTGGGGCTCGATCCCAGAACCCTGGGATCATGACCTGAGCCGAAGGCAGACGCTTAACGACTGAGCCACCCAGGTGCCCTCTACCTCCCACAGATTAAAAATACTTGCTTAGAATCCAGATGAAAACAAGAAGTGATCTCATGTTAGAACTGCTCTCTAGTCCCTTATTTCTGTCATGGAACAAGACATTCCTTGGAAAGCCCAGAGTGTCTTTACCCTGCCCTTTAATTTGGTTGAGAGGAAGCAACTAAATTTAAAGAACAGAAGAATCCAGCTATGGGAATAAGAGTCAAATTAAGCTGCTAGCTGAGGTAATGGCTGCCTCATCCATAACTGACAATTCATGATTTAGCCACTAAATTGCTAAAGGGTTCATAAATTATGATAATGTTCCTCTGTAAATCTTAACTTCTGCCATGACAACTCATTGTAGATAGGTCTGGGGAAAGGGGAATGCTTTTCTGCTCCCACTATTTTTTTTTTAAGATTTTTAAAATCTTTTTTAAAATCTTTAAATCTTTTTTTAAAGATTATTTATTTGAGAAAGAGGGAGCAAGAGAGAAAGAGCATGAGCAGGGGGAGGGGCAGAGAGAGAAGGAGACACAGACTCCCCACTGAGCAGACAGCCCAATGTGGGGCTTGATCCCAGGACCCCTGGATCATGACCTGAGCTGAAGGCAGACGCTTAACCGACTGAGCCACCCAGGCACCCCTTCCAGTACTTTTTTTAAAATAGAGATTTATGGGGTGCCTGGGTGGTTCAGATGGTTAAGCGTCTGCCTTCAGCTCAGGTCATGATCCTGGGGTCCTGGGATCAAGCCCCGCATCGGGCTCCTGGCTCGGCGGGGAGCCTGCTTCTCCCTCTCCCTCTGCCTCTCCCCCTGCTCATGCTCTCTCTCTCTCTCTGTATCTCTGCGTCTCAAATGAATAAAAAAAAAAAAATCTTAAAAAACAAAAATACAGATTTACAATAAGTTTTCATGGATATATATATATATTTTAATGGAATACAGGAGAGGGATCTACTTGACATCTATCCTTAGAAATATTGGCAGTTTTTCTTAAATAATCCAGTTCCTCATCTGTTCCTTTTTCATTTTGTATACTGCAAGTTCCCAAGCAACTCAAATTTGCAAACACAGCTATGGATACACTATTTGCTTTACAGTAGTTAGGAGGGAATCTAGGTCTCTGTTTTTTGTTATTTTCCCCTCCCCTCCATTTCTTAATCATATATAACTAGCATTTATGGCTAGAGTTTGATTTACAAGTTTCTAAGTCTGTAGCTTCTAGTTTGAAGCAAGAAAAGAATGAGTAGTCAGGAACTGGTCACTTTGAATGTGGGAGGGAAGATATTCACAACAAGGTTTTCTACCATAAAGCAGTTTCCTGCTTCTCGGTTGACACGAATGATAGATGGCAGAGACCAAGAATTCAAGATGATTGGTGGCCAGATTTTTGTGGACAGAGATGGTGTTCTATTTAGTTTCATCTTAGATTTTTTGAGAACTCACCAGCTTTTATTACCCACCGACTTTTCAGACCATCTTAGACTTCAGAGAGAGGCTCTTTTCTATGAACTGGATCCTCTGGTTGATCTCTTAAACCAAGAACACCTGCTACAGCCAAGACCTGCTCTTGTGGAAGTGCATTTCCTAAGCCGAAACACTCAAGCTTTTTTCAGGGTGTTTGGCTCTTGCAGCAAAACAATTGAGATGCTAACTGGGAGGATTACAGTGTTTATAGAGCAACCTTCAGCACTGACCTGGAGTAGTAACTCTTTCCCTCCGCAGATGACCTTACTTCCGCTGCCTCCACAAAGACCTTCTTACCATGACCTGGTTTTCCAGTGTGGCGCTGACGGCACCGCTGATAACCAGATTGGAGTCAGGTATTTTGTACTTTGAAGCATCTCTCTTCTATATCGGTTCCTGATGTTTCCCCTCAAAACTGGAAGTTTCTCATGGCTGAAACTTTTCTTGGAAAAAATCATTACTCACATGTTCTGGGGGTAATAAGTAGAGTTGAGTAGAATGATCAGATAATTATTGTCCAAACTGGGCTATTTTTCAGAGTGAAAGAAGGTATGGTTATTATGTGGGACAGTGGGAATAAACCAAGACTGTCCAGGGAAAATTGGAACTATGGTCATTCAAGTTGTAAGAGGAAATAATTTTATAGATTATGTTCCATTGCTAGTGAATTTGGCCTACGACTGAGACAACACCTTTCTTTCCCCCAAGAGATTCTTTTAGTGGCTGGCATATGGTAAAGTCTCAGTAGTTTCTCCTGATTTCCTTACATTCTACGTATATTTGTTCTTTAGTCCTTATGATTTGACTACTGATTTTCCTCCATCTCACTTTATTTTTAAACACCATTAAGGCAGATATATCCCATAGCAAATTTGGTATCCTATTACATCTTTGTCATTCTTAGACACCTCAAAATATTGAGATAGGCAGTCAGTATGTTAAGGATAGTTGCTCCTGAGTCAATTATTCACTTTCTCCCCCTGTTGTTCTTGGCTGAACACTAAGGCTGATTTCTACTCTGCTGTCAGGGACACTTTTTTTTCTCCTTAAAAATGTCTTAATGCTGTCCCACCATTATTTTACTAACTGTGAAAGCTGGCTTTAATTTTCAGGAGGAAAAAAAAGTAGTCTGCATATGTTCTTTACTGATACTATTTAAAAAAATTTTTTTTTTTGCGGGGGGGAAGAAAAAGTAGACATAGTTTGGGATATTTTCTTGACTTCAGCAGTCGCCATCAGGAACTATCAATGTTTGCGTCTCCGACAACACACCCCTTTGTTTTACTTACCAACTGAAGAACACTGGGCAGTATGACAATTCTTCAGTTTCTACACTTAATAATTTCCTGCCCTCCCAAAAAAGGTTGAAATGTCACTTTGGGAAAAGGGAGCCAGTTAAATTAATAGGCTGATTGTGAAGAGAACTTAAGACTCTATCTTTATCTCAAAGTGTTTTAAGATATCTCTGTATACACCTTTCTTTTCACTGGTGGGGCACTAACATGAATAATTCAGAAGGGAAAACTATTCAGTTTTTTTTAAAAAATTTGATTTAATGATTAAGATCTTTGAGGATCGGGGTGCCTGGGTGGCTCAGTTGTTAAGCGACTGCCTTTGGCTCAGGTCATGATCCCAGGGTCCTGGGATCAAGCCCCGCATCAGGCTCTCTGCTCAGTGGGGAGCGTGCTTCTCCCTCTCCCACTCCCCGAGCTTGTGTTCTCTCTCTATCAAATAAATAAATAAATTCTTAAAAAAAAAAAAGATCTTTGAGGATCCCTTTAAAAAAAAGATAGAAACCCCAGGAAAAATGGTATAATTAATTTTAAGAAGAAACATGCAAGGTAAAAAGATCCTGGAAATACTAAACACTTTAAAATCTATGCATGTGGAGAAAATAATTGAAAAAAATATGCTGAGAAACAAGATTAAAAACTAAGGTTGGAATATTCTTGTATGTACAGTGCCAAGTGTTTTTACCTTTGCTAAGTGTTTGTGTTTTAGAAATAGTACAAATTTTTTTCATCTTAATGTAAGAATGGCATTATATTTAAACTTCCAATATAGATAATTCCAAAACCAGAAGCTATTTTAATAATTAAATTTTTTCATCACCAAATAGTATTCATTTGCTGGAAGTTCAGAATTTTTTTCCATCCTGTAAGTGTTTATGATTTTTTTCTATCATGCCAATTTCAAAGTAGAGATGGATAACCTGAGTAAGGGGACATTATTGGGATTTCGGGTGACAGTATGAAAACTCTGGCCCTGAAAGGCCCACCTTAGGTACATAACTGCCTGGCTAGCCATCATTTTTATTTCTTGCTCACTCCCTGTTCTGAATCATCCATTCAGATGTTTTTTGAAGGTGGGAAGTGGAGGAGTAAGCCTGGATGGCTCCTAAGAGTCTGGCGTATCATCCAGCTGTTCAGTATGTTCCATTAATATGATTCACCATTCTAAGATCTTGTTAACCTAGCAGTTTGCTCAGTTACTATCTCTCAAGTTCACAGTATGTGAAATACTTGGCTTGCATCTTGCAGAAGGTCATTCATATGATACCACATTATCAAGCTCAAGTTATGGTCATAGGATTCTAGAGTCTCTTTGGTAGCCTTTATTCTATCTGACCTTTCCTTTTTAAATTGGATCAAATGGAAAAGTGTAGTTGCCTTTTTTTAAAATAGGATTTGATTTTCTATTTCTCAATGCATTCTTCTACCCTTTCCTTCTGCCTTAAAA